CAAACGTGCCATATGTGGACGTGCTTGTTGTGAATAATAAGAACACCTTTCCGATTGATGAGTGAAGGACGTTTCTGATGAAGGGCTTGATTTCAACGTTCCAGTTGCTGACTATAGATCTCTGCAGTGACAGTTCGCTGTGGATTGAGGAGTTCGGAATGAATTACTCCTTTGATGTACCGCCAAATGCACTTTCTGCGGATGGAGTCCAGGTTTTGGGGTCGGAAGTTGTTTTTATCTAGAACTGAGCCATTGTTTTTGGCGTTTTATATTCGCATACAGAATCCATTTTTCATCATCGGTGATAATTCTGTCCAAAAATGGATTACGCGCCAGAAGAGACGAAGCAACGTTCACACGTTGGAAACGATTATCATCAGAGAGTTCGTGAGGCACCCAAACACCTTCTTGATGGAATTTCCCCATATTCCTTAGATGTTTACGTAATGTTTCATGAGAGACATGTAATTTCAGGGCCATTTCACGAGTGTGTTGCCTTGGGTTAGACTCAACATGCGTCTTCACAGCATCAATATCAATTCCAATATGTCGGCCCCTGCCATCACAGTTTTTAAGGCTAAAGTAACCTGAACGAAATTTGCTGAACCATCGTTAACACTTACGAACGTTCAAAACATTTCCATAAACTTCTTTGATATTCTTTGTGGCTACAGAGGCATTGTTTCCCTTCTTGTATTCAAACAGCATTACATGCCGAATGTGTGTCTGGTCGTGTGCCATCACTATAAGTAATTAGAGTATACTAAACCTTACACATTATATAGGCTACAGTAACGCGACGTTTAGGCGATTCCTTTAACTATTATACGTGATGTACGATTTTTTTGGTGGTGGGTAATAAAAGTGTTCCAAAACGCGACATTAATTTCTTGACGACCTAATTTGGCCTAAACGTTTAGATAGAAATGTGCATGTATATGTATCAACTTCGAGTTATTTCAAAGTCTGCCCATAATAACTTATGATGCTCATTTTAAGTTTCAACTCACATTTTGGTTTAGTTGTTCCCATAACTGGAAATTCCTGGAATAATTTATTTATTCCAATTATTAAAGACTGAAGTCTTCGTATAATTCCAGTCGTTCACGTTGAATGACTTTCCTGATTCAGATATGCAGATCTCCTCAAATGGACACATTTATTTATTTGTATTATCTTAATTGGATGTATCACTTTAACATTATTTTTATTTGAAATTCATAATGTTTCAATTTCATCTTTTTTTATTTTACCTTTGACATCATTTGTCATATGTAGAAAAGTGACATCACATACGTCTATGCTTTTTGAATACTAATGTATCATCTCATGTGATCACAATAATATCTTCCCTATGTATCACAACACGGGGTCAAATGGTGTAATGTAAAGTTCCATATGGAATTAATATTCTATGCAATCCTTTTATAATTTCTCAGCACTCTGTTGTAAAATGATAATGTAGATATTAAGAAGCTTAGATCACTTTAATGTGATATGGTTACTTTTCTATTATGATTTTTTTTTGTAAAACATGCAAATTCTGTAAAACATTAATTTTTGTAAATACAATTATTTTCATTTTCAAAACCCGTTTTTTCTCAGTGAAAAATGTCAATTTAATAGATATCAATCACTCTTCTTGCAGAAGTATTTCGTTGGATATATTACCGTATCTTTAAAGAAATTCTGAAAGTCATGTTTTATTTGGGGGGAATACATATTTAAAAGTAATTTTTGGATTATAACATGTTTGCATTTTTTAATGTCCAAAACTGACGTTTTTTACCTGTTTGTATCCTTTAGTAATCAGAAGTGTACTGTATTAAATATTTTGGTAGTAAACCATTTTCCTCCTACTACTTCTATTTTTGCAATTAAAAGCTATTATTTTGTTATATTGTTATATCTAGTTATTATTGTCAAAAGTGTTATTGTCATCCATTTCTACATTTTTGTAATGATTTTTGTTTGTTGTTAAGCACACAGATACATAATGGACTATCTGTGCTGTATCCATCAAGGGTATCGAAACCCATTTTAGCGTAGTGAGCCTTCAGACTTACCGCTGAGCCACCAGAAGTTTTTGCAATGAAAGGCTTACCTTTTGTCACTTGTTTTTACCTATTGCAATCAAACTTTTGACTTTTGTTACACGTTTGCAATTTTTGGTAATCAAAAGTTGGCCTTTTGTTACCTTTTGCACATTTTGTGCAATAAAAATGGTATTTTTGCTATATGTTTGTGTCTTTTTTTTTGGCACCTGCAATTGACCTATTGTTACCTGTTTGCATCTTTTATTCCTCCAAAGTTTATCTTTTGCATCTTTTATTTCCACAAAGGTCACCTTTTTGATATCTGTTTGCATATTTTAGTATGCAGAAGTTCAACTTTTATTATCTGTTTGCATATTTCGTTCAACAGACGTTAACCTTTTGTAAAGTATTTGCGTGTTTTGTGAAATTCCAATGATGGTTAGATGATAGTTATTTTTCACCTTTTGTCATGGTTGAAAAGTTTATATTTGAACATCTTGTAATACAAAAAAATTGGCGATCCGAATATTTGGAGACATTAAAAAGTGTACGAAAAGAGGATCTCTTAGACTTTTGTATTTTCACGAAATATGTATAGAAGTTGATGAGGAGTAAATAAAAGTTGGCCTTTTTCATCATCACTTTTTGTTAACATCAGAAAATATTTGTTTATGCAATGAGATACAGTTAAGGCTATACAGTTACAGGTAGTAAGGACGAGATATGTTCAAACTGCACAGTTTCCAGTAATAAAGACGAAATATTGATAACCATACTAGTTTCCAGTATTAAGATCAATAATCGTTCAAACCTGCACAATGTCCAGTGGTAATGATGAGAGATGTTCAAAGCTTCACAGTTTCTATTCGTCGGGGCAATACATCATCAAAGCCTTTCGATTTTCAGTTTTTTGGAAAATATATGTACAAGACCTCACGCCTTATTATTTTATACAAGCCATCTAATCAGATATTTATCTTTAAAATGTTAGTAGGCTTTAGAGTTTCCAGTATTTGGAAGAGACTTACCTTGATATAAGACTATTAAAGTATGGAACAGAAACATCGTTCTTCACACAACTTGATTCCAATGCAAAGACCATGCGACCAGTATAATGAAAATGGTTATCACTTAGATTATCAAAAAAAAGAAAAAAAGATAATGTGTTCTCATTCCATTCTGCAATAACGTTAACTTCCAGCACATATTGCTGATGTATCAATTACTACAAATATTGTCGTCATTCTCATAATTGATTTTCTCTGTCCAGTCGCGTCTCAGGAAAGGATAATATTCTCATTCTTAATGTCAGATGTCACACTCATTGAGAAAGATAACGTAATTCTTATAAAGATGGTCATTTTTTTCTTATTAAATGATGTTCTCGGTTAACGAGCAATATTACGAGTTAGGATCATAAGGCTATTTAGTTATGTATTGTTTTGTTACATATATCTTAGGTTTGAACGAATTACATTTAAATAAAGAGCTACAGTCAAACCTCACACGGCGGATATTATATTAATTTTTATTGTTTTGATATTAGAGTGTTAACAGCAATAGTTAACTCTAAATCCACTGAGTTACCTTCTGTAAACAATAAATACTCAAAATAATAAGTTTAATTGAAATTAATAACAGAAGAACTAGATGTCGTGAAAATTATGTTAAAACACATAAAAAAGCACATAAATATACATCAAAAGTTTTTATTCAGTTTTAGAGAACATACTACATACCCAGATATTTTAGATAATATCCATACAATTTAAACACACAGAAATGATATACCTTGAACAGTAATGTCATAGCAAATAAATATTTTATTTTTTGAAAGTTATATACAACATCACAAGCACATACACAATAAACAGAGGTATAAAGAAGAGTTTTCTGTATATTCGAACTTTTTTGTGATCATTGCAATACATAACATGAAATAACTTAGCCGGAGTCTCTCATGTCCGAAGGGGAAAAATACACACCAGTACAGTTTTGTGTGACATACTTTTTACGGCGTAAAGTGTAATCAATCATTAATGTTACCTCACATTTTCACTGACATGCTATCAATTTTACATCATTTACAAAAAAGGGATTTTAGTTTATTTTCTAACTGCTCTTCATGGTAAACTATTTTGTTTGTTTTGATTATAAATATCACTTTATTATACTATATGGTAGTTTTTATGCTTTGTTTTTTATGTTATTGAGAAAGCATAAGATTGCACTCATCTGAAACTGAGAATTTGTTTTTTGCAAACTTAACATAAATTTTCAGTGTAACTGAAAATGCATCAAGTCATGCTCGTTTTTACCATTTACTAAAACCCTAACTCATGTTCGTTTTTACCATTTACTAAAACCTTAACTCATGTTCGTTTTTACCATTTACTAAAACCCTTAACTCATGTTCGTTTTTACCATTTACTAAAACCCTTAACTCATGTTCGTTTTTACCACTTACTAAAAACCCTTAAGTCATGTTTGTTTTACCATTTAGTAAAACCCTTAAGTCATGTTCGTTTTATAATGCTGTTACACTTTAACATAATTTCTATGACGTTACCATAGAAAAACTAATACACAGAATAGCTGAGTGTAGAAGATTTAAAAAATTATCATATCTACAACTGACATTCAGATTTTCTAATCAACAATCCCATCTACTTATAACTAACAATTTTATCTACTTAACCAAAATTTTTCTTACTGACACTTACTCATCTAGATTAACGAAAGCACAAATATCACAGCCATCGAATCCACTTTCAAATATTTTTTCAGCTAATTTTCTGAGCTATTTCGGCCAAAATGTTCCCCAGCATTCCAACTCTTCTTTATTTTTACAGGACGTAGCTACACGTATCACAGGTTGGTATTCATGTCCTTGCTGTAGAAGCAGAGAACTACTGCTATGTTAACTCAGGTATGTTTAAAAAAGCTAACTGCGGAGGCAAAATCCACTAGGAATAAAAATTTTGACGAAGGTGGAATGTCGATTTTTGGCATGATATATTTTCAGTGTTATTACAAGACTCTGAGCTGCACAACATCCTGTGACAGGAGCAGATAAATCAGTCAACAAAGCGTCATCCCAGCAGCAGCTCATTACTTGAGAATATTGGGTTTTGTTTCTTTGAAGTTACCCAAGAATATTTAAATTACACGGGGTCATGGATTTTAATTTTCTTCTTTATTTATAGCTGTTGCAAGTGAAAAGAAAACTTATCCAATATAGTGTTCTGTTTTCGTTTGATGTACACAAAACAAAGGATTCAATTCTCAAAATAGTTTTTTCTTTCATTATCTTGGAATTTTCTGTTGCCACAGGGACACGATGTCAAAACTAACCCAGAGCAAAGCTCTCTTATAAATTAATTGGGGAACAGATTTCTTTTAAGTTCTTGGCTAACAGTAGATAAACCACACACTCAAAAGAATGGTAAACAGTAGTTCCAACGATTTCCCAGAGGAACAGGTACTGCCAGATCCTTTGGAAAAAAAAAATATATATAGACTGGGATTTTATTTTGTCTTTTCCGAAACCTTGGCATAGTCTTTGTTATAGCTGAGTTCAAATTCTTAAAAATCTCAAACTGGTATAGTATCTCGGAGAGTAATGTAGCATTTCATGAAACTATGATTAATTCAAAAACATGACAAAATAAGCAGTTAATACGTTCGTGATAACGTGAATATAGTTTTCTTAGCTCTACAATTTTGAATATCAGTAAACTAAGAGAAAAACAAAACAGTTGGAAAATAGACATTTTGATACGCTAATAAATCCAAAATAATACTATGCACATGCATACCCAACCTATATGAAAAAGACTTGATTTAGATTACACAAAAAGCATTAAATTACATTAAATATACAGTATGATTGTAATTTAATTACATTAGTTGAAATATTTGTGATATTTCAGTTTAAAAAGTATTAACTCACCTCTGTTTATGATTTATGAATATTATCAGACAAAATGTTATTCAGAGTAATCTTAGGTGCCGTATTAACTTTCAACTATATAGATATTGGCTCTTGATTCAAATGTGATGACGAGTTAAATATCTACTTTTTTATCGCAACTATTCAAGCTACTGACAAAATAATCAAAACAGCCCCCAAACCATTGTGAAACAGTAAATGTTACTCACCACCTCCTCCTTTTGCTGAAACTTGTAATCCAGAACTCTGTTGGCTAGCCCCAATTACAGTTTCCACATGACTTGTGTCCACAGTCTTCTTGAAAATGGCTGTACAGTTCAATCTCATCTCTCCATTTCGGAAGTGGTGTTCTCGTACGTTAAAATGAATACCAAGTAAAGCTGATTCCAAACTACCCGGATGCTTAACCAGCGGGTATCGTGTTACGTACTCTGGTGATACCTGGGATAAAATAAATAAAGACAAAATATCTGCACACCAATCTTTTTCGTGCAGTCATTCTGTTTTCGTGTTCTAGGTATATGTTAATCTATCTATGAAACTACCTGTTTTGCACTCCCTTTACCTGTTGGTTATCTATATGTTTATTTTGGTGTGCACACACTATCTATGAAAATACCTGTTTTTGTTGGCTATCTATGTTTTTATTTTGATATGCACACCTTCTCGTTTGTCCGTTTAGGACTAATGCTACCTGCATTTTTTAAACGCGCTACACCCTAAGAATTTTATAATTATTTACATTGAAAACATACGAACGTGGGTTGAAATTATTAAAGTCGATAACCACCAAATCTATATTTATAAACCTTATACGTGTATAGTAATATAATGTTTTTTAATTCATTTCACACTGAGTTACTTTACAGAAACGTTTATGGCGGTGCTGTAGGTTAAGACTTCCATTTATTTGTTTCGAGTGAGATTTGAAACCATAGCCAACATCAAAACTCTTTCTTTGACATTCTTTACGAAATAGTTTTTGTATCTAAAATCTATAAAACCTATTTCCAGAATGAAAATGTTTCAAATATCCATCCTCTTACAGTAAGAACTGCTTGACTTCTTAAGATAGAAAACATTCTGCACGATTACGTGTTTCTATGTTTCTACTCTTCATTGATGAGAAATAGCGTTTCATTTATCATAGACTAATATGCTTCCAAGATCATGACACATTTTCTCCTCTAGACTATTCACGATCTGTAACTAGGATTAGTTAAATGCGATTTCAAAGATCGTTTTTGATGTTGTTGTGATTTTTTTAAATGGTATCATATCCAACATTTTGCTTCAGGTTTGCCTATCAGTTTTGAAAATGCTTTACTTATTCTCAGATTTAAAAGTAATATTGTCGTTGACTTTCCTTTCCTTCCATTAAAATAGTTCAAACTACTGTGAAGATCTGAAAGAAACAAATCAGATTAGATTGTGTAAAATACAATATTTTAGTTTTAGATATAATTAGAAGTGTTTAACTGAGTAAATAAATAAATTGTTTTAGTTATACACTGAAACAAAAAGAATCACTTAAAAAAATATATATAGCAATTCAGGCATTTAAATTTACCTCGTTTTCGTTAAGAAACCAACGTAGTTTGGGTGCTTCTTTGACTTTTGGAGAAGTACAGTTTGCCACAACAGATTCACCTAAACGATAAGTCGATTTTTGTCCATTGATTCGAGGCCCATCTTTTGCTATGTAACAGACGAATCGTATTAATTAGAAATATTTTGAGAAAGTTATTAATTATTCATTTATATCAACTAACTGTAGCTTAGAAATGAATCTTAATAAATCATTTACTAAATAATATGAGTTTTCAGATTAAATTATATTTGTAGTAATAACAAACTATGAGCTGACTGTAATTGGCAGTGTTGTAAAAGGGGAAGATAGCACCGAATATGAAACAAAATTGGATTTTTTGCTAAGTAACTATAAATAATTAAAAATAAACATAATTTTGTGAATCGTTTTAACATATTGATTAAATAAAATGTTTGGGCTAGTGGTTATGATGCTCGATTCGCAATCTGAGATTCGCGAGCCCAAATCCCTGTTGGCGAACATATTCGGCTTATACGATTACCGACTGGGCCAGCCACCCAGATATAAAATTAGTTGACTTACAAAAATATCGCCTGAGCACAAATGAATTAGGATTAAGGTCGTAATGGTAAAGAAATTAATTAAATATATATATATATATTTTTTCTTTATGTATCAAACGTATGTCTGAAAATACACTAAAAATAGAAATGAAACAGTTTGATGAATAATTTATAAGAACATATTAGTAGCATTAATGTTACATATTCTTTAAATCCTTCATAAGTCCACTATAGTGAGTAAAACACAACTAGAAACACCATACTTATACCGTATATCTTAAAGGGTTCTAAGTGTAATACTTTCCATTTTAAGGTTATGCTTTAAGTAGTTCCAACATTTTAAACGAGCTTGCTGTATATCGTTCACAGTAAAATGATGACAGAAACATTAGAACAAATAGTCTGAGATGCTGAGTTTAAAGAAGAGCATCACTGATTCCAAACATAAAAATATCAAGTATATACAGACTTGTAAGTATAGGACACTGGAACGACATTACTTGAAAGAGATGTAGTATTTCATTTTGATATTGCCTAACTTAAAATTATCAAGTAATCTATTTTAACCTCCTCTCTCTCTCTTGTTTCTAAACGTGACGTGACTTTAGTTCTCTTGCTACTTTTGTCCACCCAACAACCTATTATATAACTTGTCAAAAAAGATAAACTTGTGTATCTTTTAGTATCTATGATCCCATTATTGAATTATCTCTTGCCTGCACGGAGCTCAGAGGATTTCGGCATATCTTTGATATAAAGCTCTTCTACACTCCTGGAGTACTCCTGGGCAATGACCGAAGAACAGCGTAGGTTTAACGTTCCGTGCCACAGATGAGCGTGCTCGACAACAAATCTTAATCCTAGTCTGGAACTCAATAGCCGTCCTTCCTTTAGTGGACTCAGCGGCCACTCAAAGTGCACGGGAGCCTGAAATCGAGTTTTCTTTTACAAATAATAGCCAAGTCTAAAACGTTAGTCATGTACTGCTAAAATATGAAACGACACTTCAGGAAAATTAGCGTTAATTCTAGAATAAATTACAAAGAAATCTTTTATTTACTAGCACGTACCTAATAGTATCCTTCATAAACACTAATATTATAGATCTCAAAAGATTTGGGAGGCCGAACAAAATGTTTGTTTATCAAATTACCGTATAATATTATGTCGTATCCTATAATAACGCAAATACAAACAGCCAAGAACAGTATAAAGCTTACATATATTTGTAAAGCGGCTTCTTTAATACATGATGTACAACAACATTATCGGTTATTTTCAGTTTAAGTATAAAATTTCCAATCGGTATACAAGCATACATCCAGTTTCTAAAGTACACCATTTTTTATTTTGATATTTAACTGAACACAATACCAATTTATTTTAGCCTATTTTCATTTTCTATTGATAATTATTGAGTATTAATTCCAAGAGATACAATTAATGTGGAATTTCAGCATAATTTATCAACTGTCAATTTAAAAGTCAAAACAAATCACAGCTAACGTCAACTTTCCTCAAAAGATGGAACCATAGTATGTAATAATAATATGTTCAATGAATATTGAACAACGAGAAAAACCTCTTTCTATATCCCTTACTATCTTTTATGGAGCAAGAATACAATAGTATATAATGATGATAATAATAATGTAATAATAATATGTAATATGTAATAGTATGTAATAATAATATGTAATATGTAATAGTATGTAATAATAATATGTAATATGTAATAGTATGTAATAATAATATGTAATATGTAATAGTATGTAATAATAATATGTAATATGTAATAGTATGTAATAATAATATGTTCAATGAATATTGAACAACGAGAAAAAACTCTTTCTATATCCCTTACTATCTTTTATGGAGCAAGAATACAATCTTTTATTATTTCCCTCTTTTGCTCTATCGTTTCTTTCTTTCTTTTTCGAGTTTTTGGGAGCTAATAATGATATTGAATTGAAACATACTAGGGAATTCTTGCAGCCACCAAATAAAAGGCAAATAACCAGTTCGTGTTATTCAAAATCTCTTCGAAATTCTGGCATCGCAAAAAGGGGAACCCTACGCTAAACCTACAAATAAACAAGGATTGTAGAAATTACTTTTGTTTTAACATTATTGCTAAATGCTATTTACTCCTGTGAAATACTAACTTGTTTTGTCTTCAGGTGAAGGGCTATGTATTTTTTGTTCAATGGTTGTAATTAATTTATCGCGATACGTAATGTTAATAGGTATAATGATTTATTTAAATTATTTTGCGGAATTCATTTTACAGCTAGTGTATTATGTTTTCTGTAGCTTATTTGAATTAGCTAGCTTGACATTTTCTAATTAACTTTTCAACTCTTAATGACTAAACACAAGTACACATATCACTATCCTTAGGGAAAAATAAATGAAAATGCTTGACATCTGAATAATTTCCCTCCAGGGGCCATCGAACCCTAAAACACATATTCCATATCACATATTTTAGAAAGATGGCAGCATGTTGTTCTAACAACTCGTCTGTTGTAACTAATTTATTTCTATTCGTATAAAAATAAGAAAAAATGTATACTTATTTATTATAGGTATTATGGTTGACCAATACTTTTAACGTAGAAGTAAACATGAGGTACGTGTTAATAAGAGGTAATTGATAGTCTCATCGTCATTTTTTGTGACAAATAAGCTAAACGTAAAGGTTCTTAAGGATTAAGCTTAGCCATCCCTAATTTACGCGCCTGTCTTGAGAAAGTGGGTTTTCTCGGGGCACTCACGTTTCCTCCAACAATTAATTCCGAGGCATAGGAGTTATATCTCCCAGCCACCCTGTTTCGGTGTATGACAGTCAAGTCTCGCTGTTAGGTAGTTAAGCCTCCATGTGAAAATCACCTTCACTCAGCGTACTTTTTTACTTCAGCCAACTAATAACTGATATTAAAATAAACGATAGATTCAAACAGTTTATTATATTTAGGTGTTAAAACTGTCGCTTTATAATCCAAAAACTTAAATCAGCTAAAGTACTAAATATTTATTAGAGTCTTAAAAACTTCCGCGAGCGGGGCAAAGGGGAATACTAATATTCCTGAGCACCCCAGTTGGGAAGAGCTCGCAAATTCTCCAAGAATTCAGTGATCTCTTTCTTAAAATTTAATTCCTGTCACGTTCGTACTTTCGTTTGTTCTTTCCTCAATTTAGAAATGCTGACCAGAGGGAGGGCAATCAATCTGTAGCACCCACTGCCTATGTAGTTACTCATTACCGAATAGTACGTTTATCATTCGTCATTGTAACTCCACAACAGCTGAATGTGTGTGGTGTATTCAGTATTAATATCACAGCTCCAACCTTGGACCTTCTGATTCTTATCCCGACACATTAACTACTAAGCAACTCCTGGCTCTTTAGTATTTGTAAACCTTTATCTATTATATTTATTTTAGAATACATTTTCAGTTTTCTTTCTGATAAAGATAAAATTATTGCACGAGTTACTAGAACTCTCCTAAAGCTAACATGACGATTAAGATATTGGTATAGAAATCTCATAACAACCTACAACTCACCCTCAAAACAGTAGACTCTACGGTCATATATAGTCATCATATATATCAACCCATCACAATAACCTGTAAATTTGTATAGTAATCATCACATACCAACTCACTTTCACCACAATATCCTGTAAGTTTATATAACGATCATCGCATACCAACTCATCTTTACCATAATAGCTTGTAAGCTTATATAATGGTCGTCATAGACCAACTCATCATTACCACAGTAGACTGTAAGTTTATATAATGGTCGTCATAGATCAACTCACTTTCACCACAATATCCTGTAAGTTTATATAATGATCGTCATAGATCAACTCACTTTCACCACAATATCCTGTAAGTTTATATAATGATCATCAGATACCAACTCATCACAGTAGTCTGTAAGTTTATTCAATAGTCATCACAAATCAACTCACCCTCACCACAATAGTCTGTAGGTTTATATATGATCGTCATAGATCAACTCCCTCTCACCACCGTAGCCTGTAAGTTTATACAATGAACATCAAATACAAATAGCCTGTAGATTTATATAATGATCGTCACTTATCAACCAACCGTCACTACTTCAGGTTGTAAGTTAATGAGAGATCGTCACATGTAAATCATCTTGCATCATACCATTGTAAGTTAATGAGAGATCGTCACATGTAAATTATCTTGCATCATACCATTGTATTTGAAGAATCTTATCTTTCCAGCTTAATTTTTATCTTTAAAAAAAAAGTGATTAAATAGATAGATCAACATTCTGGCTCTTTTATGTCCTTTTGTGTATTTTTCTCGGCTGATCTTTTTTTTTTTTTACGTTTGTCTCAACTCGCTAACAAACTCACCTTTTTGTCGTTGATATACCATTGTAAGTCGGCAGCAGGCTTGGAAGGTTTTGCACTACAAGTGACGTTAACCAAATCTCCAACACTGTAATGGCCGTGAGTGCCCGTCACGGTCGGTGTTTCCCTAGGCAATACTGACAAATATGGAAAAAAAAACATAATGCACTTTATGATATATATGTATATTGCACGTAAACTTATTTCAGCTGTTGTAATTTGAACACCGTTGGCTAGTAAAGATACATTCTGTAGTCTGAAGTTGAATGAAATAATTACTGATAATATTCAAAACCTGCCAGTATCACACAGCTTCATGTACAGTTTCTAGTTACTGTAAGTATTATTATGCAACATAGGTATGAAAAATAACTCAGTGAATAAGGCATGAGATAAAAAATGCTTGTATTTAGAATATGATATAAACAATACTCATAGGGCCATAGACGAAAATAAAATATCCTGAAAAAGATATAAACCTCGTAAAATATTATTGCTCATTTGCATGTTCTGAGGTAAAATAATTTTCAAACTTATTAATCTTGGATATAAAATGGCAATTTATATTTCTTAAGCAACTTAATTATAACATAATTGGTGGCATAAGAACTGGTTTTAATCGGTTTTTTTATGGATTCAAGAAGCGTGGGTTTTCAAACTCCGATCAATGTTTAACTAAATATATAATGACAAATAGAGATAAAACTTTTACAAGTCCTAAAGGAATTTATTCTGATATGGTTTTATTTATTTTACTGATTACAATACTCTGTCTGTACTCTTAGAATTAATGATGAGAAAACAAACTTTCAAATGCAGGGATTGAAATAAACAAGTTTTTAATAGCTTGGTGAAGGATATATATTACAGTTAATATACATACATATATTTATTTACATATGAAAAAAAACTTATAGATAAATTTATAGCTGAAAAGATGACGTAAATGATTAGCAGCTAACTACGTGTAGTATTAATAGAAACATATTTTCACATTATTATTTTTATATTAAGCTTAGCAAAGAAGTATAATAAAGAAATTAAGATTTTTCCGCGGCTAAAATCAGATAAGCGGTATTCTTCAGCATTGTTTCATTTAAATAAATTAAATATAAATTCATTTGTGGATAAGAAAAATATTGTTTTTGTGGATAAAAGATGTGTATAGCATGTAAAAGTATTTATGTAACGGAAAGGTTTTAGCATCTTACCTTTTTATGTATGTGCCTATTTGCATTTTATGTTAGCAAGTGACAAGCCACCCTCTTCAGTGGCTCAGCAGTAAGTCTGAAGGCTTATAACGCCATAAACCAGGTTTCGATACCCGTGTTAGGTATAGCATAGATAGCCCATTATGTAGGCTTGTGCTAAACTACAAGCAAACAAGAAAGTGATAAATCTATTTTCGATTAAACTTAGTGAGAAGATGATATTTTTTGTAGTCAAACATCAATCTTTCAGGTGACTATTTTGTATTCTTTGAAATTTGTATAATAATTGTGGGAATTACAACGTAGATGTTTTATAAATCTGTGATAGTTTACTTCCACTGAGGCCCGGCATGGCCAGGTGGTTAGGGCGCTCGACTCGCAATCTGAGGGTCGCGGGTTCGAATCCCCGTCACACCAAACATGCTCGCTCTTTCAGCCGTGGGGGCGTTATAATGTGACGGTCAATCCTACTATCCGTTGGTAAAAGAGCAGCCCAAGAGTGGTGATGACTAGCTTTCTTCCACTTGCTCAATTAGGGACGGCTAGCGCAGATAGCCCTCGTGTAGCTTTGCGCGAAATTCAAAAACAAACAATACTTCCACCGAAAAATTCGATTCGAATACTTATGTCGGGATGGTTTTCCGATAAGTGAGTTTCATGGAGAAAGAATCTGAAATGTCACCATTATCACATATTTCTGGATGCATAAAGAAAAATTATTTCATTATGTTTGATTTCATATTACTCTGTAATACTAGACATAACTATATCCATGAGGTATGGTGAGATATTAGCGCTTTAAAATAAGTATGGTTTAAAGAATATTAAAAAAAAACAGGTTGCTATGATACTCATTAAATACCATCTTTTTAAATAGTATACATGTCTATAAATATTTTATTTTTAACAAGAATGCCACTAACCAGTCTGCTGCGAAACAGTGCGTCTGACAGATTAGATTGTTTGGAGTCAAATTCAATTCAATTGAAAATAGATGTTAAAACAATGAATCGTATAGAAATTAAAGTAAGGGTGAGAACATTTCAAAAGGCGTGGAAAATATCGCTATTAAATCCCATAACACGCAAAAATCCGTTATACACACTTTTGTTTCGGATAGTTGAGCAAAGTCACTCAATTAACATCTGCACTAGCTGTCTCTTCTGTTGAACTAATAGCCTAAAGGTAAGACACTAGCCAACCGTACCCATCGCCAACCCTTGGGTTACCCTTGTCTGAACAAATAGTGCAATTTGGCTTCCACACTTATAACGCAGCCACGGCCCTAAAGTACGGATGGGCCAGCAGATTCACAGTTTATCACGCTAGCCACTAGCGTTTAGGTATACAAACTTACAGGTTACTAAACATGCAAGACCTCTTCGTTTACAAAGTCAAAGTATAGATCCCAAGGACGTTCTAACGAATAAGTTAAAAACATGTTGCACACCTAAAGTTAGTTGCACGTCGTGTTATGTTTGGATATAGGTGCACGGAAGTTCTTTTTTTGTGGGTATGTGTACATGTGAGAACTGATTTTGTCCACATATGAATGTCAATTTTGCAGTGCATTAAACCATAAATCATAAGTTAACACAGTAGAATAATCTTTTATTCTGGTATATATTTTGTCAAACTACGGCATAAAATTTCATAAAAGACTAAAATTTTAGTTTTCAATAAATCGCTTTAACCCTTAAATTACTGTGTTTGTGTTTTACCAGTCACCGCATTGGGGTCAACATGCCGCATCAGTTTAAGTACTTTCATGTTACAACACTCATAGTATCGAACTGACCAAAACAATTAATTGAAATTACTTATATTTTATGTAAAAATACATAGAGAACCCAAGCAATGATTAGTAGGATTAATTTAATATTAATAATTATAATATCATTTTTACAACTTTTGTGATCAGCGATGTCACTGATCCATAAACAATTTGATGCATAAACAGTTTAAAAAAAATGTCTTTAAAAATCTGATGGATTCCAAATGGATCCTATCGGTACTTCTGTGATTAAATAACCTTTTTAAAACAACAGACAAATTCCTACAGTGGTGTTGTTGCCTATTGTCGTTGGTTCACTGACAGTATTTGGTTAATAAGCCAGATGAATTCTCCCAGTCAATAAACTTATTCTAATGTACATCACAGTTGAAAATGTTAACCAGACAAACTTACTCTGACATCTTTCACTGTGGATAACTTACTCTGGTGTGTATCACATTCGATAAATTTACTCTAATGTACATCACAGTTGAAAATGTTAACCAGACAAACTTACTCTGACATCTTTCACTGTGAATAACTTACTCTGATGTGTATCACAGTCGATAAACTTACTCTAATGTATATCACAGTTGAAAATGTTAACCAGACAAACTTACTCTGACATCTTTCACTGTGAATAACTTACTCTGGTGTGTATCACAGTCGATAAACTTACTCTAATGTACATCACAGTTGAAAACTTTAACCATACCAACTTACTCTGACATCTTTCACTGTGGATAACTTACTCTAATGTGTATCACAGTCGATAAACTTACTCTAATGTACATCACAGTTGAAAATGTTAACCAGACAAACTTACTCTGACATCTTTCACTGTGGATAACTTACTCTGGTGTGTATCACATTCGATAAACTTACTCTAATGTACATCACAGTTCATAAATTTAACCAGACAAATTTACTCTGACATCTTTCACTGTGGATAACTTACTCTGGTGTGTATCACATTCGATAAACTTACTCTAATGTACATCACAGTTCATAAATTTAACCAGACAAACTTACTCGACATGTTTCACTGTCGATAAACTTACTCTAATGTACATCACAGTTCATAAATTTAACCAGACAAACTTACTCGACATGTTTCACTGTCGATAAACTTACTCGACATGTTTCACTGTCGATAAACTTACTCTAATGTACATCACAGTTCATAAATTTAACCAGACAAACTTACTCGACATGTTTCACTGTCGATAACTTACTCTGAAGCACGTCTTAAATTCATAAACTTACTCTGGAGTATATCATAGTCGATAGACAGTGAAGAATATCCTTGTAAACGAACTTGGCCATATCTTCTGTCATTTAAAAGAATTGTTGACAAATTCAAGTATAAATATATTCAAAACATATTATTCGACAATCAGAACAATAATATGAACAGTTAGAATGAAAATTACAATTTCAAAGATATAAACCATTCATAATACCTGGATTACTTTTCTATGTGAAGACATTATAAATGTTATTAATGTGCATTTGAGTTTGTGTAATCATTTTCTTCTGTGCGCATGTGCGAATCACTGAATGTGTTAACGTCTTTGGATTAGAAACTCATATTTTGCGAGAATAGAATCTATAATTAACATAAAAACCATTAAATATTTTTGTGACGATAAAAGAGGAACAATGCCGTAATATTATTCACACATTTAAATTAATTAAGGTTACTAGGAGGATTAAAAAGTACTTAAAATCCAATAAATACCATATACTCATCACCATTATAACTGTATTTTTTGGGCTTTTTGATCGAAGCTGTGCTGATCAACCTTGAATAGGTGAAACTGCAGTCAACAGCATAGGGTGCTGTGAATCAAGGAATGCATTAGGTATTTACGTCACAGATTATATTTTTAATTATACTTTTGGTGAAATCAAGAGAGATCTCTAAGATAATCATTAGAATGTGTGTATGTCTTGTGGTGTTTCCATTGCTCAGTATCGGTAATTATGGTGCATTTCTGTGTAGTTGCATGTTAACGTTTCTCTCTCTATTTATGTATATATAGACACACACATACTTTTGTATATAATTATATTTCTATAATCACCCCATAGTTTAATTCTATCAATGTGAATTAGAATCGTGGAACAACACCATTTTCAAATGTTTTTACGAGAACTGTTAGCTTCAGTGCAAATTCTCATCAATATGCTTGAGATTAGCCAGGAAAACAGGGTCACTCGTGCATTAATGGAAGCTATGAGACACGTTCTCTTTGGAGGAGCGTGATCTGCTTTCATTAATGATTCTCTCATAGAACAGACACAACTGTTTAGGGATCTAATTAAAAACAAGAAGTTCATTTCAGGTTAAATGACATGATTTTAACATTGTTACTTTAATTAATTAGATCTTCCATTGCATGTATGAGTAAAGAAAAACGGCATATTAATGATTTTAGAAAATTCGCTGTATATATCTTGGTAACTCTCCTACGAGACATAATGGAACATAGTTGAAATATCTTACCTCAAGATTCACTAAATGGTAATTCATTCCACATTACTTTAATATTAAGTTTTGATAATATGGATATTATTAGTGGTAATCCGATTTATTTTAGTTAATACGAGTAGTTCGGGGATAAGAGCAGACAATACTCAGATACCATGAATGTTGACCACGAGGAACTCGCATACTTTGAGTGTTGCACAAAATATAAAAACAACCAAGAACATCTAAGATACTGTCAATGCTGCAAAGATAGGCCCAGTAAGGAGATGTGTGTAAAAATAAAACAAAATTCAATTTATAAACATTTACAAAATAGACTGATCACAGACTGTATCAGAAGATATCATTGCCCAAATGTCATACTATTATTAGTCTTTAAGGTAATGCAAAGAATGGGGAACTTTTAAGCTTTCAGAAGGTATAATTTGGCTAGTTCGTAATAGCGTCATTATCAAAGACTGTTACTTTGACCGGCTGTTGAAAGAGATTTGTAATAAGAACCTACCAACGACCGAAAAGAATTTGTCTGCTACTAGGAAATTTTGTATGTATCAGTCGCTCCCAGCAAACATGCTCGCCCTTTCAGCCGTGGGGGCGTTATTATGTGACAGTCAATTCGTTGGTAAAAGAATAGCCCAAGAGTTGGCGGTGGGTAATGATGACTAGCTGCCTTCCCTCTGGTCCTAAACTACTAAATTAGGGACGGCTAGCGCAGACAGCCCTCGTGTAGCTTTGCGCGAAATTCAAAAAACAAACAAACGTATCAGTCGCGTGTGATTGGGCAAAGCAGATGACGATTATGCTTGTAAGGTATACCAAAAGCCGGACTGTGTCTCAGTTCATATATTCCCTCAATAATTGTTAGAGCTCGATTATATTTGAATATTTCCAACAGTAACCCGCGAAGAACATGTAGAAACAGTTTACCCTAGCTTGTGACTCGAAACATAAACTGTAGCTAGACAGCGGATGACTAGAAGTATCAAACATGATGAAACGGTTCACGTTTCACTTGTCCTTGCACTGAAAGTTATGTTAAGTAGAGATATGTAAAACACTACATGCATTACTTAGCTCAGTTTGTGGCTCAGAATGTAAGCTGTAGCTAGACAGTGGATGACTGGAGGCAGGAAACATGATGAGATGGTTCTCTTTTCACTTGTCCCTGCATTGACGGTTGAATATAAAAATGTAAAAACCTACATGAAGCATTTATCCTTTTTTGTGTTATTCCAACAATACAATCTGACATATCTAGTTCAATAGTGTGGGAAACGTTTTCGTGGCACGGATTAGACCATGTGATCGTTTAGAAGGGTTAACATAAAACAGAGAGTGCCTGAATGCTGTTGTCGATCCTGTCCACATCACAATACTGTATATCAACCATGGTAGACAAAGGCTTTTTCAAGACGATAATGCAACAATCCACTGTGTTTATATTGTCTGAAACTTCATTTATCTCTTTGGACTAGAAAAATAATCCATTTCAGTCTGGTTAAGTATCCGTAGGATAGAATTTAACGTCAGGTTTGCCACCTTAACCCTCAAATTTCCAACTTGTTCTCATACTATTCACTAACGGTAGAATCCATATAATGCATCCTATTGTGTAATTATATATTTTTGGCTGTGACAAAACTCATTGTGAAGCATTGGATGAAATTATACACTTTTTATATGAAATACATAGAAAAAACCAAGCAGTAATTTGCTGTATTTATTGCAATATTCACAGCTTTGATTTATTATTATTATGTTTCTAGGGGCTTGTATCCAACAAAGTCATTGACCCAGAACATGTTTATTGCATAAATAACTTTAAAAAAATGTGTTTAACAAGTGATGGACCCCATCAGTAACTCTAGAGTTCAGCTTCTGCCATCGTATACGAACCAGTTGCAACCCATATTCTTTGACAAACGGGCCACAATCAAGCAGAGCACCTTCGCGCTTCTCTTGTCGTTTTTGCAACGCAAATCCAGGCTATTTATTATCTTGGAGTAGCTGTTCCAATCGGATGCCGAGTGAGGTCCTAGTCAAATGGCCACCTGGTGCATGTTATATTTTTGGATACCATAGGGTAAACAATCCATGATAAACTGCCCATTTCAATCACTATTCTACAATACAATCACAGAATTAACGAGGGTGCATTACAGAAAGAAGACCTGAAAATATATATTTTTGACGATTTTTAACATATGAGGAGTTAGTTATGAAAATATCATTAATTTTAATATTATTGTGTTTATTTTTAACTTGCATTACGATTTCGCCGTAAATACGTTTGCAATAATGGTGTTTTGTTTTATAAACAACGGGAAAATGCCAGTTTTTCAAACAACTTACCATAAATACGCAGTTCCTTCTCCCCTCTCTCAGTCTGGAAAGAAGGAGCTTCCGCAGATACTTCGCACCGATAGATTCCTTCCGATTCTAGATCAGTCTTCTGAAGATACACGTGTCCCACTGAAGATCTATCCATCTGTAATCAAGAGACATTTCCGATGGTTTGGTGAGGAATTCGGAGATCTACATAAACATTTTGCTAACCTTTCATGTAACAGTTTTGTTTTTTCATGGAATCTGATTTTGTTTTTACGGAAAAATAATTATCCACTATATCTTTTACCATTCTTAATTTTGATCTTGGCCCATAGTTTAATACATCATTATAACACATAAGCACAAAGCTACACAATGGGCTATATGTACTCTGCCCACCACGGGTATCGAAACCCGGATTCTAGCGTTGTAAGTCCGCAGACATACCACTATGCCACTGGGGGCAACATATAAGTAAACATATATTGCATACATATAATTCACCCTGAATAACAAGAAATTATTGACGCGAAATATTTTCTTTAACATTATCATTTTCTGTCAGTTGAATTACGCAATAATTACTTCGAATACGATAGTTCTTGATTGTTTCGATATTTGTTTACGTATTAAATACCAAAGATAACTTATATAACAAACTATGTAAACGTTCGTTAACGTAGAGTAAACATATAAATTCAAATTGAAAATTTGAAATATTCCTAGGTATTTTAATATTACTTTATGAAAGAGATTTTTTGATCCCTAAGAAACCTTATCGAATATTTAATTTCAAGTCTTCAATTGCCAACGTTAGTTGCTTATTATGGAAATTCAATAGATGAATCAGTCACACATGCCCCATCACGAGGTGATTTATGCAGTTAAGATTTACTTATAGATATCGGCTAAACTCATGTTATTTTCTTAGAACTGTAGGCAAAGTTTTCCTAATGTTTTAGATGTCAGTTTCCATTCAGTCAAGGTTTGTTTTGTATTAAGATACTGAATAATGTAAACATGGGTAAAGTTTAACAAAACATTATTGTTTTTCGAATAGTCCTAGTGGCCAAAAACTAAAAGTAACGTTTTAAAATAAGTAAAGGTTTTAACTATTTATAATTCGTTTATTTAAGTCCAGCACAGTTATTCAGTTTTTTATTATTTACTTAACTGATGTGTTACTTGTGACAAAATACTTTGTACTCATTAAAAAATTAGATTCTTTATAGAATATTACAGGATCAGTCTCAGAGCACGTGGCTCTTTTTAAACTATGCCCCCCAGTGGAACAGCGGCATGTCTGCGGACTTACAACGCTAGAAACCTGGTTTAGGTGCCTGTGGTGGGCAGAGCACAAATAGCCCATTGTGTAGTTTTTTTGCTTAACTTCAAACAAAGAAAATTACTTTGAAACAGACTTAGTTAATGCAATTCAATCTCGTAATGCTTGAATGTTAATAGCATTGAGATATACAGGATCATTCGGGCTTACAGCAGCCAGCCTTCTCAATAGTTTGTTTATTTGATGTTAGCACAAAGCTACACAATGGGCTATCTGTGCTCTGCTCGCTGTGAGTATCGAAGTGCGATTTATAGAGTTGTAAGCCCTTAAACTTATCGCTGAGCCATCTAAATACAGATTTTTTTCACAAATTGGACAATATCACATGTCAGTCTAGTGAGTAATCCACATTAATACAGATTTGTTTCAACACATGATTACTCAGATACATTGATGTTAAATCATTAATATTAAGCAATACCAAAATATGTCTTATATTACGTTTGCTACAAAGTAAAAAACACGAGATAAAATTTGTGGAATACATATTCAAGTAAGGTACAACTAAAACTATACTGCATGCCATTTCAATAATGAGTACATTTACCAGCTGTACATATAATTAGCTTACAATGTTCATGTAAGCCTACTAATATCATAATCGTCGTAGATTTCTTTGCTTATTTAAATCATTTCCAGCGTACTATATGTTCGTTTGTTTTAGCATCTGCAACGCATCTGGCAGCTTAAAATATTTAGAAATCCGAGATAGTCTTAACAAGTTACTGTTACATTATAAGGTCTACCTAATTTAAGCTGTTTTGAGCATCATAAATTATTTTACATCTAAATCATTCCACATAAGCAATTATTATGCTATTAATTTCTATTTTATGAAAAAAGCTACTAAAGTTATCTGCCGCTGTTTCTAATTTTGAAAAAAAGTCATTCAATTAGCAGAAACAAACCATCAAACATTCTATGAACTGAGTGTCACTCTAATAACTCAGCCACAGTTAAATGTGCGGAGAATATTTTGTGGTATCGCACGGATTCGAAATCCTGAGCTATGCCAGAGAGCCAACCCACGTCAACTAATTCAAAAGCAGAGAGCAAAATGAGCATCATGGACCCGGGATAAGAATAAATACCCACCACCAATCATACTCAGAATAACGAGTAAACATCGCCATATTTTTGGTTGTGTATATAAAACACGCCCATTATATCCGAGAACAAAGCTGAAGTGCACGCAATTCTCTATCCAAAGATAAACTTTCAAACAATCTATTTTCTAATTCAAATCATACTTTAACATTCTGTTAAGTTTCTTAATGCACCTGGTATAACATTAGAATTCGAAGCGTTATTTATGAATATGGTACATTGTAACATATTGAGCAGCTGCAGCGAAACCCGTCGAGAGAGAGAGGATATCGGTTTTCTGCCACAGAAACTTCATTGTTTAGGTTAAGGTGATGACAATGTATTTTCATTGGCTATACTTTGGCACGTGAACTCTAAATTTAGATAGATACACGTCGAGATATTGAAATTTAGTTTCTAATGAAATGACAACGAAGCTCTTCTCACCACGTGAGTACCCTGATGAAGGTAGTTAGTAAACACTTTTCGATTTTCGTCAACATCATTTTTGATTGAAGTGCTACACAATCAAGAAATTGATTTTCCTTTCATGTTTATTTTTTATACCTCCTGAAATTCCAACATCCATCTATGTCAAATTACAAGTCTGTGTTTTATCCCAAGTACTCTCTATAAGTGTGGAAGTTTAGGTATATGCTTTCTTTTCTGACATCTCATAATATGGTAGAAGAAAAACAACGACACAAATCTCATGAATACTGCTTTATTTTTCATTATTTTTAACCTTCAGGTGCAGGGTTATACTACATTACTTAAGAGCCTTGATATGTACTTTAAACGAGTTTTATTTTTATGCAATTTCATTATGATGGTTATTTCTCAAAGATAAGAAGTACCCACATTTCTGGTGTCAAAATGTAAAAAAGTGTTAATTTTTATTACACGTTGGCATCGCATTGAGCATTAGAAAATTTATTTCAGTTGAAATATCCATTTATCCGTGGTAGGCAGACCACAGATAGCCCATTATGCAGCTTTGTACATAACTACAAACAAACAATAATCATAATTGATATAAGGTTCTTGGTTAGTGTCATGTATAATTTATTTTATATTATCTGATTTATTCTACCATGATAAGATATTTAGATACCATTAACTGAAATATGTATCTTTGACAGTATTCCATTGATAAAACGTAATAAAAATAGATAACGACATTTATACTGACAAATATATCTTTATGTTAAACTACTTCAAGGAATTTAGCCACTTAGTGCGATAACCAAAATATCGTAACATTAGTCCTGATGTGGTTAGCGAGCCAGATTGAGGATCTGAAGATATATGGTTTAATCCTGCCATATGGTGCTGGACGAACTTCGAATTTTCAACTGTGGACAAATTATGAAAATGTCAGTCACTATCGTTATTAGGTTAAGAGTAGTGCAGTAGATAATGGGTTTTACTTACTGACTGGTTGTCTTTCTTCGACAGAAGTTCTCCGTTAGGGGCGTTAATACGTGAACTTGAACTATATGACTGGCTATTTAGCCCATGTGTTGCATAAGATGCTGTTCAAGTTGAAAATATAAATACCAAACTTTTAACATTACTAAACATTGACGCTGGAGCAATTTTTGGTGGTGAAAACCACTGAACAAAATCGTAACATATTTAAATGATGGAAACCACGCAAGCACAACATCCCCATATGTAAACCTCAGCACCCCCCCCCCCTAGTCCCGCGCTCTTGTTACTAAGAGCATATTATAAACATAAGTTAAGTTATTGTTTTTCTTTTGTTAGGAAGCAGAAGACTAGGCATCGAGTGTCATTCAGTTGACTATAAACGTCAATAAAGACAACAGAAAACATTCAAATAGAAAATTATTGTAGGCATCGAGTGTCATTCAGTTGACTATAAACGTCAATAAAAACAACAGAAAACATTCAAATAGAAAATTATTGTAGGCATCGAGTGACATTCAGTTGACTATAAACGTCAATAAAAACAACAGAAAACATTCAAACAGAAAATTATTGTAGGCATCGAGTGACATTCAGTTGACTATAAACGTCAATAAAGACAACAGAAAACATTCAAACAGAAAATTATTGTAGGCATCGAGTGACATTCAGTTGACTATAAACGTCAATAAAGACAACAAGAAAACATTACAAACAAGAAAATTATTAGTAGGACAATCGAGTGAACATTCAGTTAGA